ATTGCTTGTACAGCATGTAATAGGAAAAGAAGCCCTGCACACCGTCGGATGTCATCAAGACCAGTGTCGCACAGCACGTCATGGGTTTCGGACCAAAAGGACATGTCAACGACTCAAAATGGAGACTGCCTTTGCATCTACACCGCCAGGACAGTCCCAACCTCTCCACCAACGCTGATCCTCACGTCCTTCTCGGCAGGGCGCATCAACTATATGTGAGGCACCTGAGCGATGGCACACTCACCATTCGTGGTGAGAAAGTTCCATCACGGAACGTTGGAGGCGTTGGATTTTTCGTACCCAATCATTCGTCTTGTCGATTCACCTCGCCTGGCTATCCTTCCGTCCTGTGCATCACCATCACTATCATCAACTGCTATCTCCCAACATCAGCAGCTCCTGACTTGCAATTTGATGCTTCTTATGAGGAGTTGGAGGAAGTCATCTGCAAAGAGAATCCCTTCTATAAATTTGTTGTGGGCGACTTCAGTGTGAAAATCGAGATGTCAGAAGAAGAGGAGCCTAGGATCGGGAGATTTGGATCAGGACTCGGGAAAGAATAATGATGACCTTCTTTTAGTGCTCTTATTTGCCGCACGACTTTTTCATGACAACTTCATCATGCAGAAAGAATAAAAGCGGTTGACACGAGAGTCGTCAACGGTCATGCGGAGGTTGACCACATTTTCACCAACCGAAGGAGTGCTTACTGGATGTCTAAGTGGTACCATTCTTCAGCAGTGGTTCCCACCGTCTCATTTGAGCAAAAGTGTGATTCAGCCGAATGCTGGAAAAAATCTGTCACCGTGCTGGAGGAAGGAGAGAAGTCGTATATGACGGCGTTGAAGGAGCTCCTGACCACTTGTGACTGGGGGACTTTAGACTTTAGGAGGACCCAACGGAAGACTACGATCTGCTTCTTAGAGGACTGAGAGCCTGCGGTGAAAGTGCCTCAATGCCTCGCACAAGGAACTTGGAACGGATTTTCGAAACCAAGAAAAGAAAGGAAGGAAGAGCACTGAGTGCATCACATCTCGAGCGACTGGTAGCCAATACCAGTTGCAAAACAGCTTTGCAAGAAGATCTTTGAAAGTACAGACAATCGAAACTTTTAGAAGCAACATAGGGAAGGAGAAGTCTAAACCAATACCGCAGGGATCTTCTCGACTACCGTGTTCCGCTGACAACATTACTAAACGAAGACGAGACTCGCACATCTTCTCGACAAAGGGTAGAATCGATCACGAGAGATTCTACACCAATCTCTTTCGCT